CTAGAAATGCAGGATTTTAGAGGGCCAAGGCACTTCTTGGGAAAGGCCCCAGCAGGCAAATAATGTCAGGCAATCTTTGGGAATGTGATGGCAACAGCTTCATAAACAGGTGGAAAACACAGTAACAGGAGTCTTTTACACAGAGCATGCCACTCCTCAGAACAAGAGGAGGAGGCACGGAGAATTGGTGACCTTCAATAACAGACTTCACCAGTTCCAAAAGCGGATAAGCAAGTTCCCCTGTGAAGCAAGACTAAAAGGGGAGGGGGGGGGAGAAAGGGCTCAGGAGTGCTGGCAATTTCTTCAAGAAACAGATTAAGACCAGATGTGTCAGAAAGAAGTGGAGTAAGAGACAAACAGGGCTAAATCATGATCATTTTTTCTCACTGGAAACTCAAGGAATCACCATGGGAACAGAAACCAGGGCAGAGCAGAGCAGCAACGTGAAGGACTGAAAGCAGAATTGCCAAATGGCAAAGCGAGCTCTACCTGGGAAGGCCACGGTACCAGGAAAGCACCCTGTAACAGCAAGAGGAAAACCCAGAAGTTTCTGCTACCAAAAGAGGAGGAAACACTAAAACCAGATGACAAATGATGAGAAAACATTTAATGCCTTTTTATTCCAGCCATCAATAAAAGAATTAGTTGTGATGAGAGCGTTTGCACAATTAAGACACAAAGGAGATACGAACTTCCACAGCTGGGGAAAGGTATTGAGAGAATGCTCAGATAAATTAGACCTTTTCAGACCAGCAAGGATTGACTTGACCCAGGGCTGCTGAGGCTAGAATAGCGAATGCTGCCTATTTTTATGATGGAAAAATGGAGAAACCAGGAAATTAGGATAAAATAACATGACCTCAACTTCTGCAAATATATTGGCACATGTTAGTGCGTACTTGGAAGATGAGACAGCAGGTAGAGGCCAACGCATTATTTTGCCTTAATAAAATAATATTTAAGCAACATATTTTCTTTTTATTATCACTTGTTATTCCTGAGAGCAAAAATAATAAATGTCTTAAAATGAATATATAACTTCTGAAAATTCCCTGCGTTAGTAGGTCTCTGTAAACCAACCATAAGAAAAGGGGCAAAGTTGACTGGGGAGAGACATACTCAAATAATTATTGTTAATAATTCACCACTGAAAAAGTACAGAGTGGAGTTTCCTCAGTGACCATCAGGAGTCAACAATAACAAATGCTTATAACTTTGTAGATAATAGCTAGCACTTAGGGGCATTTAAGTGCTTAATTTAAAAAGCATTCTTGCATTGAAAAGTCAGAAACAAATAGACTGACATAAGAATAACGATACTTAACAACAAGCTGGGACAAAATAAGGGATAGGGATAAACTGTCTGGGCAGCAGCTGTGCATTAAACACTTGGGTGATGTCTACCTCAAACCAAAGGCATCTCACAAGCACAAAGTTTCCTGTGGAAATGTATGCGTTCACTGCATGCAAAATGCATGAATTACTCCCTTCCTGCTAATTAGTGCTCATAAGGCTCAGGTGGAGATCTGTTTGGGAATACCATGGACATGGCTCAGTCTTCAGAAAACAAGTGAAAAAGTCAGATGCCTAAAAATCAAGATTTAAAAAAGGGAAGGTGAAAGAATCAGGGAAACAGTCCAGGGAGAAACGAATGGGGAAAAGCATAAAATAGGTTTCAAATACAGTAATTTCCCAAATCTCACTGGGAATGGGCTATGTAGTAAAGCAAAGAGGAAAGACAGGTTAGACATCAGGATAAAAAACAGTTTACAAACTACTTAACATTAAAACAGATTCCTCAGGGAGACAGCAGCCTCTCCATTGCTACTGTCCAGCTTATTTAAACACTAAATTATAAGACAACATGGGAATTCAGCAGAGTTGATCCTGCTGGGGAGAAGCAGGTAACCTAAGAGATTTTCCAAGTCTCTTCTGCCCCATTTTCCTACAGAAACAAAAGTCATAGACCAAGATATGTATAATCTAACTTACCTCGCTTATTCACCTTACGTGGAGACTGGCTTGAAGGAATAATGCCATCATCTGACTCACAGGTTGTAGAAGAACTGATTTCATCAACATCCTATAAATTAAGACATTTTCTTAGGGCAAAAAGAAAACTCTCGATTTGATCAAATTCTCAGACAGCAGCTACAGAATCACATATAGTTCAAGTGACTTTCATCACAATGAGCATTAATTGACATGATGAAGTGTTACCAACGGCTGTATTTTCCAATAATGCAATGCAGTCTTAGCAGACTACCTGTCATTAAAGTGACACCTGACTGCTGAATTTGAAAATGTTGCTGAAAACGCTGCGCCCCAGCACTAAGGAAGAATCCATTTCCCGCAGGTTACTCACAGCCCTGCGGAGTACCGTCGACATTTCTCATCTACCTGCCTTTGGCTACCGCAAGACCAAATTCAGCTTATGACAACGATCACGGATTTTGATTCTCCACACCTTAACACCTATGTTTAAAAACAGGCAGGACCCTGCTTTTGTTTTATTGCTGGATGTGGTTTTGTTTTTTTTTGTTTTTTTTTGTTTTGTTTTTTTTTTTCTTTTGTTTTTAAGTAAATCTTAACTGTAGGGGTTTGTATCATTTCTTCACCTTAGCCTTTCTGGGACTCTGCTTTGTATCTGTCTACAACTGTGCCTCTTCACAGCTTTTGGAATCCTCTCGCAAATGTTCTATAAAAATGAAAGTTTGCCAAACTGGTTTTTGCCTTGAACGCTGCTCTTTCTGTGTATGACAGTGTCTTATTTCCCATCTCATCAGGAACCCTAGACAGTCACCAGGTAAAGCCACTGGCTGTAGCAGCATCTGAGACTAGATCAAGGCCAAACTTGGCCTGTATTCCGTTTGCAGTAACAAAGTCATCAAGTTCCCTTTTCAAACACTCCATGCGTCTGGTTAACCTCCGAGAAACAGTTTGCCAAGACAAAAAACTGCCATCACGGCAGACTGAAATGCTTTCAAATTTATTTTTTTTTATTGCACATGCAAGATTAGATTGCACAAGCTAACATTTGTGTTTTATTAATGCTGCATTGTAAAAACATATTGACAATCAAGTCAGGAATGTGAGAGAGATGCTAAAACAGTGCAGGTGAACAAAGGAGGCAATAAACTGTCTTTTATTGAACCGACACAGGAATATAGAACACATTAGCCCTATAAAAACAGCTTCCCATCTTGTTCACTGCTTCCTTTCAATGCCCAGTATAAAATGCTAGGGTAGTATTCCAGTGGCTTTTCCTACATTTTAGATGCCAGAATGCAGCAGCAAAATGTGACATGTAATGAAAGAGTTTGTTCCAAATTTGTATTTTACCGCCGCACTCATTCCATTGCCACCCTTACCTTTCACACCTAAGCATCGCGTTAGAAAGCAAAATCCACATCCCAAGCTAAACAATTCTCTAGCAAATCATAAAATTAAAAGCGAGGTCTGGCAAGCATTAACTGTTTGGCAATAAGCGAGACTCATTGTGAAGTTTAACTATTCCAGCACTGCTAAACATAATTGCACAAGAATCAAATGCGTGTTTAAAAAAAACCAAAAGAACACTTTTCTATCACCAGGAGTATTCACTGCCAAGGTAGCAACAGATAAAAAATTGCTTCTACCTCTTCAGAGATATACAAAAGGGTTACAATTCTTCAAACACAGGCTGGCTCAGAAAACTCATTATTGGTTTGTTAAAGCATGAGAAACTGGGGCTTAGCCTGGCTTCCTTGGAGAGGGGAGCTGCAGAACTAGCATGCATAGGTCCTGCTGAGAAAATAATCGCTAATAAGATAACCCCAGACAAGACCAAAGCCTGCTAGCACTGCTTGAATTGCAGCACAGGCTGTACCAGCAAGAAACATCTTTTGACCCCAGAGAAATCTCTAAAAACACTCTAGAAACAATTCTGCTTTCTCTGACCAATTACTTCACTGGATGAGAAGCATGTGGCCCAGGAAAACCAAAATTGGCTTTGAGGAGCACAGCAGCAGAACTCTTGAGAAGCACCTCCTTTCTCCAGCTTTGAGCACCTAACATTTCACAGACAGACAAGACTTGTCTAGAGGGAACACCCAGGAGGCAGGCTCATGACCTCCCACAAAACTCTGCAAGGTCAGACTTGGTGTTTGTTACATTTATTACAACAAGCAAGTGGGGGAAAAAAAATAAAAAAAATTACACAACCTATTTTTCGGCTTTGCCCTTTATCACGAGGAAGAAAAAACCCAAAAAACACAGATTGTCTTTTGGAAAAACATCATGCAGAAAGCTTTCCTTTCAGCCATCATAAATGGAGTATTTCACTGCAACGGACAGCTCGCAACAGACAGGGATGCTGACAGGATCTTCTGGAAGTTTACCCCAGTTTTATCCCTTCACAGGGCAGGAATAAATCTGTGAAAGTTTTCCTAGGCAAAATCCACTAATATATCTAAATAAACACCCTATGTCTGAATAACATGCGTTACTTCCAGCTTGCTCAGCAAGCTCTGTGCCAGCTGAATGCCTCTGGGGGGCCGGATGACACCTCTACTTACCGCGTCCTCTGCATCGTTGTCTCCTGCGGCTGCAGACTTGGACGTACAAAACGGACCAGAGGTCCTTCCGCTTCTCTGCGGAGATGTTTTTCCTTCATGTGCCGAATCGCTCTCTCGATTTACACAGCTTGTAAAGTCCTCCCTGTTTTCATTTTCCTTCTTCTGAGGCATAGAAATACTTCTCAATATACCACCCGCCTCAAGAATTTTGTTTCCATCAGCTGAACTAGGCTTTGTAGTTGTTGGTGGTCTGGCCTGATCGTTTTCTTGCAGAGATTTGGGGAGACCCTGGAGAGACTTAGTGTCTACAACTGGTTTTTTAGAGTGCGATTTCTTCCTGGCAGAGAAGAACGCTGCTCCCAACTGGAGTTTCAGGGCTGGTTTAACTGTCATGCTTAGGACTCTGAAGGGTGAATCCATCTTCTTTTTAATTAGGCAATTCACATTCTCTTTCTCCACACTGGGTTTTCCCACTGGTATCTCTCTCTTTGCCTTCTTAAGCGTTTTGGGGACAGTTTTGCCCTGCTTGGAGTTTGTTAAGTGCTTGGTTGGCTTGGAGCTTGTATTCCTGCTCAAGTTCACATTCATCTTCTCAGTCCTGCTGGCAGCTGGGAGATTTTCATCCCTGTTCCTCTCACCCAAAAAGCGGTTCTCATTCAGTTGTTTCCTCTCTAGAGTAGTTAGGTATCGCTTTTCTTTGCTATAAAAAGACACGGCAGGCATGAGGGGCTTGTACAAGGAAGCGGTCTTTGGGGATATTTTCCTTAAGGACTCCCTCTGCGCGGCTGTGGGAACACTGTCTGCCTGAAAGGGTGAAATATCCAGCCTCCTCGACAGCGCTGGCTTTCCCAGGACAGCCTCATTTTCTTTCATCTCATCACTGGAACTAGATGACCATTTTATTTGAGAAGCAAACCAACTGTTTCTTGATTTCTTGAGTGTAGATAGACCTTCTGCAAAGCCTATCATTTTTTTCACAGGATTCTCAAAGGCTAAGGATGAACTGCAAAAATAATCACAGAGCAAAACATCACATGTGCTATTGAAAGCTTTTTAATTATTGTTTTACTTAAAAATAACACTTAATTTGCACTCAGCCTAGTTGCCTGTACTGGTATGTGACCTGGAATAAAAACAAATATCAAATTCCAAAATATAATACACAAATATCAAAAGGCCTAAGACTTGCCATTCTCCACGTTATTTTTTTTTTAAACAGCAAATCTGTTTTCCTGCCTGAACTTGTTAAAGCACCTGGAAACAACAGTCATTCTACTTTCTGGAACACTGCTCACAGGATCAGCACTATTCATGATTAAGGAGGAGGGGGAAAAAAAAAAGTTTGATTTGTTTCAGACCAGCTCTGTCAACTCAGATTTATGCCTCTGAAAAAGCTTGTGCATCCCCTACCCCCATATGCAAGACTGATAAAGCTGGGGGTGATCTCACAAAATTTTACAGCAGTTTCCGAAAAGCATGCACTGAAATCTCACTCTGACAGCTGTTTCAGCATCTCAAACCTCATCAGTAAATCACTAACAACCTCTGAACCTACTGCCCAATGGGAGATAATACATTTATACGAAGGACACGTTCAACCACTCCTCACTGTAACATATTTGGCACAGAACATAGCAAGGCATTTCCTTAGCGCGCATTTACACCCTATCTCAGGAATTTGTCCTTCAGTTCAGAAATCTAACTTCACTCTTGGTCTCCCCTCTCCCCCAAAATATTTTTGTGGGAGAAGTACAGGACAAGCATGAGAAAAAAAAACAACTGCTCAGGTGGTAGAGTTATGAAAGAATGAGAAACAAGCTATTCTTTTGGATTTAAAGCACAGCTTTTTGTTCATGGCCAGTGGCTTCTCCTCCACTAGATTTGGGGGGGCAGGGGGAGAATCTATTATTTTTTATGTATACATAAAAAAGGAACTATTTTTCTATTAACGCTAGAAGACTATTCAGATAATTTGCGCAGACCTCAGCATTTCTGTACTGTATATCCAAGCCTTTCCAAATGGGAAAGACTGAGGCTTTACCACAAAGAAATGCAAACATCAGGGGTTTTATTTCTTAAGTTTCTGAACAATCAGTTTTTACGTTTCTGCTGGTTTTGTGATGACCTCAGGGCTAGGTCTGTGTGTGAACGCCATGTACAGGAATACGCACTTGACAGAGCTGACTGCCGAAACAAGATACCCTTCTTTTATTAAAGAAAAAAAAAAGAAGCCCTAACGCAAACTAATGTGGTGTACTAATGTGGGCCTGCAAAGTGTCAGCTCAGTATAATGGCTTTTTTCTCATTTCTAATTCTGTGCTACTCTACATATTAGATGAAACTTCTCAAGATGCTCAATACAATATAAAAACGTTATCTCACTGAATAATAAACATGGCCTAATGCTAACTGTGTCTCAGAACCATCTTAATATTTTTTCTATTTTACATTAAAAGCTCTCAAGGATTTTAAACATCAGTTTTATTCTACATGCAGCAATTAAGTTGGTTCTATTAGAAAAACAACATATATGAAAAGTTTACATACCCCTCGGTATCAGTAGAACTACGGCTCCTTTTCTGTGGGGTAACAGCTGCCATGCCTTCACCAGAGCAGCTATAAAAACACATTTTTAATAGCTTGAATTAGATTTCCAGTAAAAAACAAAACTAAACAGAAAAACCAAACTTAGTAAAGAAGGAAGAGGAGGTGGGGGACTGGGAAGAAAATACTGAATGGAAGCAGTTCAGGCACGATGGAGACTAGAACACCGGGCTGTGTTTCAGTTGCGTGTAAGTCATAAAAAAAATGCACACAGAAAGGATCTGTCATCATGGACAAACTCATCCTAAAGTCCCTTCTCTAAAATGGAGTCAGAGAATTCAGAAACATGTTTTACTTTCTGTCTCTCACATTCCTCTCGTAAAGCTCATTCCAGACCCCACTGACATGGTTCCTAGAAACCTACTTGCTCCTGCCTATACTCACGGTCAGTTTATTTCCACAAGGATTTCACGTTGGCATTTACCTTCCAGCCAAGGCAGCTCTTTACTCAACAGACTTTTAGAGTTTCTCTCCCACCTTCCATCTTGCCAAAAACCATAAACCGCGCTTTTTTAGCCTTCATTAACACAGCAGCCATTTAAACCAGTTTAACACTTGACGCTGTTTGTTCCATCTTTTCCAGTTTGAGATAATTATCGTACAATATTAACTTTTCTGTTACTTGGTGTTTCACAACTGAAACCCCAGAATAAACAAATACCCTGCATCCAAGAGAACTGGTAATAAATATTCATAAACTGCTAGAATACCCCAAAGAATGATTTATTCAATAATCTACCAGCAGGGGGAAGTTCTTCCCAACCTGCCTGCATTAACGCGTCGCTGATTTTGGGGAAGCGGTGACTGATGACAGCTCAGACACGACAAGCTGTTGTTGAGCCCAGGAACACCAAGGACACAAGTGGCAGCAGAAGATGGAGCCAGGAGCTGCGTAGCTGCAGCAGGAGTTGTACAACCTCAGCACAGAACAGCGCTGGCAGAGGGGAACTTCAAGAGAGGCCAGGCAATGCCCTGGAAGCAAAGGGCAACGATAACAAGCCTGCAGGTACCTGGGAAATGAGATATCAGCTGCAGATGAAAGGAAGACGATAAGACATGGCCGCACTGTTGGCAAGAGAGTCAAGGTGTACATGGAGGGGGGCAATCCGTATAACTTGCATTATTAACCTGGGGATCCCTTAGACAGCTCCCTGCTGCCGACCCTAGCCACCCCACGCCCCTTCCCAAAACGCTCTATAGTCCTGTTCCCAGGCAGCCCCTCACCCCAGAAGCCCCACACCACGGTATTACATTAGACCTTCATCCCAGCACCCCACAGGCACCCTGCA